CCAACAAACATGGCCAGCACCAACTTATAAATTCAAATCTGATTTGCCGACCTTCATGAAAACCAAAATTTTTATATAAAGTGTCGAATATGAGACTGTCTATAAAAACTTTGTTGGCTGGTTTTAGCTGGTCGCCAGCCTTGTCTTAGCTGGTCAGCAAGCTGGTTTTAGAGGGGTAGTGTCCACTTCTTTAGCTGGTCTGGCTGGGAGACCAGCTAAAACCAGCTTAGTCTGGCTGGTAAATTATGAGGAGGCCGTTATTAGCAAACAGGTTACTTTGCTGATTATAGCCCTGCTAAAAAAATAAATAGAAAAAACAGCTAAAACCTGCCTAAGCTGGTTGGCTGGTTTTAGCTGGTCGTCCAGCCTGGTCAGCTGGTCAGCAGGCTGGTTTAAAAGGGGTTTTGGCCACTTCTTTAGCTCGTCAGTCTGGTCTTAGCTGGCCAGGCTGGGAGACCAGCTAAAATCAGCTACCATTTACAACTAGTCTGTACACATTTGAATGTGATATCTGACCATGTCCATATAATGAATGTCAGTCCAACAATCTTCCTTTGTGTTCCAAAGAAGAAAGAAAGTGACAACATGAGGAAAGTAAATGAAAATTTTCATTTTGAGTAAACTATTGCTTAACTATTGCAATAAAGCTGGTGGAGTTATCCTGAAGCTGCTCTTGAAGCATCTTTATTGTGATGCAGGCATAAAAATATTTCATCAATATGACTTAAAGAGCTTCACCTTACAGTGGTTGTTTAGAGTGTTGTAATTTATACTCTGCATTGTTGTGCAGTATTTTGACTGGTCACATAAACTGGGTTTTAACAGTGACACAGTTTAACAGTTTTCAAGTTCCAAGTGGAAGGAATAGTCTGTTGACACAAGGAGCTCCCCTGTGCAGCATGTGTGCTCATCATGACAACACATGCATAACTAAACATCCTTGCTCTGTTGTCAAGGTCACCATGATGTCTTCCTCAATGCAATGACTCGACCAGAACTGTGAACTGAGAGGCGATTTAATTGCTGGAAAATGCTTAAAAACTTCAGCGTTGAAAAGGATTTAACCAAAGAGTCATTCAAATTCCATTTAAAAATATGACTTTTTACTGTCTTCTGCTGTCAAAGAGAGAGGATTTTGTGGTTTCTAATGGATATAAGTTTGCACTTCATAATAACATAATGTGTACATTTATAAACACAAAACTATGCACAAGACTAAAATCTAAAAACAAATCTCCAAGTATGGGGTGAAGTAGCAGCGCTTCCCAAATGCTCCATGGGACATGATTCCCCAGACTATTGCAGAGCTGCAACTGAGCTACGAACAGATCTATAGTAACAAGCATTAGCGATCTGGCATTAAGTGAAGGGAAGAGTGTAGCGGCCTAAAAACTAACTAAAGCCACAGGAGTTGAGTGAGGGAATAACTTGTGACATGTCAATCATCCTTTACATTTGTGTCTTGAGATTTATTTTATCCACCGAATACTTGACAAACATTGAGGCATTTCTTGAAGGATCAGAAGATTTGAATAAATACAAAAAATTTGAATGAATATAAGGTCAACAAAAAATGTGTGCTCCCACACTCACCCCCTTCTTTCCCTGACATCCCCTATACCCACAACAGGTGTTTTAACTCTCAAATAATTAATGACATGCCCACATTTTCCCACAGTCACATGACATCGCACAATAATATTTACATAGCTCCTATAAAGAGTATTGATGTGGCAACACCATCACTTTTGACAGAAAATTTGACAGAAAAATGACAAAAAGTCCCACTGGAATACTTGTGTCTTTACTGAAATGCATATGTTATTAACTTGGCTGCCTGACTTACAATACTGTTACAGGGGTCATATGATGCGATTTCAAGTTTTCCTTTCTCTTTGGAGTGTTACAAGCTCTTGGTGCATGAAGAAGATCTGTAAAGTTGCAAAGACTAAAGTCTCAAATCTAAAGAGATATTCTTTATAAAAGTTAAGAGTCAACCACACCTACGTAAAATAGTATATTGTTAATTTCTTTATGTGCACTGTCATCAATTTGCATAACATTTATGTGTATAAAATATTACATATAAAAGTGCTCAGTCGTTTACAGTGAGTATGGCATAACTCCCTTCCTTACTGTAATTCAGCTAAAAGCATCATGCAATTTGCATTTGTTAGACTTCCTTGGTATCTATACTTAATACTGCCCTCTTCTGGATATGTGATATTTACTTTAATCCATAACACTTCTATAACTGTTGATGAAATATTTATCATATGTGCTGTGGGGAGTACAAAACAGTCCTTCTGGTGTTTATATGTTACTGTAAGACCACTGGCCTTAAAATTACTTAAACCTTTATTAACAACTAATCCTTTTTGTATTTATTACATTACATTTATTACATTTTTAAACTGGAAAAAGAACTACACTTTGAGATTATGAAGCCGTTTCATACTGTTAATAACTAAAAATTTTTATGTGCACTGTCATCAATTTGCATAACATTTATGTGTATAAAATATTACATATAAAAGTGCTCAGTCGTTTACAGTGAGTATGGCATAACTCCCTTCCTTACTGTAATTCAGCTAAAAGCATCATGCAATTTGCATTTGTTAGACTTCCTTGGTATCTATACTTAATACTGCCCTCTTCTGGATATGTGATATTTACTTTAATCCATAACACTTCTATAACTGTTGATGAAATATTTATCATATGTGCTGTGGGGAGTACAAAACAGTCCTTCTGGTGTTTATATGTTACTGTAAGACCACTGGCCTTAAAATTACTTAAACCTTTATTAACAACTAATCCTTTTTGTATTTATTACATTTTTAAACTGGAAAAAGAACTACACTTTGAGATTATGAAGCCGTTTCATACTGTTAATAACTAAAAATATTAATATGATTATGCATACTATAAGTTTAGTAGAAAATGTATACGTGCAGTCTGACACTCTTGAGCATGGCGCTTGCTGAGAAACTTCAGCCCAGCTGCTAGAGAGCGATGACCTTGGCATTGGTTACTATGTTATCCTGCTATAAAAACATGAAAATAAGGGTCAGACAACAGACACACAAACCATACACTAATAATGACATTTATGTCCTTGCCCTCATATCTTTTTGCTTTGCCATGGCTATTTCTCTTATTAGCATGAACAAACATGAAAAGAAAACATTTTATTTATAACACACAGATACTTTGCCCAACACACTAAATCATAACCAATAAAGGCATCAAGACAGTTATCCAAACCACTAGAAAAAGCAGGTTAATTTAAGGTTTACTGAACTGAAATGTCAGGCAATGCCCACATGCTGTAGTTTATTTACAAAGTTATGACATTTTTAGCTTATAGAAGTTAAACACTAGGAAGTTTTGAAAAATTTGGTCAAGGTTTGTTTTTTACTGTGAATTACTTAAAGTATACCACTATTGTATCTGTATATGGATTTTACAGTAATCATTTCTTCACACAACCTACTTAGTCTTCGTTTATTGCTTCCAGACTCTTTTCTATTTATTCTGTGCTTTACTTTTGACCAGTATGACCAATAACTTCACAAAATTTGATTATAAAAGGAATCATTCTTTGAGTTGTCATATTTCATACACCCTAGAAAGTGAATACCTATTACATTACCAGGAAAGTCTGTGACTCATGGCTAGATTGCATTACTATTAAGCCGACTGGTGGATGGAGAAGAATTAGTCATTTAGTTACTTAGAATGACATGAGAAAAGACTGACTCTGTGTGTGTGTGTGTGTCTGTGTGTGTCTGTGTCTGTGTGTGTGTGTGTGTGTG